GAAAAAAGGAAAATTGCTACTAAAGACCGCTGGAATTAGTAATATTTTCATTTTTACCAGACCATTAATTTACGAATCTTTCCTGTTGTAAGCTACATCTTCAACAAGACTTGAAACATGAAGATTTTTTGAAAGTGCCCCAATAGTTTTTAGTTAAAAATTCTCTTTGGGGGTGAATTTTCCAAGCACCGCTGTTCCAACTCGCTTCGCATAATGGTTTACGTACATTTCACCTGTCAAGAGCTGTTTTTTTAATATTTTAAGCATTTAATGGCTAAACTTTACTTCGCAGCAAATACCCATTTGGGTCGCAAATACCCATTTTCCCTTTTTTGAGGAAAACGTACTTTTCATTGCGAAAAAACATATTTCAGACAAAACATCGATCACCAACTATATTCCCCATACCTGTATTTTCATTTTGTTTATCTCATACGTTAATTACACTTGTAGTCATTGACATTTTAATTCTTTATTATTCATTTTTATTTTACTGCGCAATTTTTATGAGCATGGATTAGTGGTACTGAGACAGTGGGGGTTACGTTTCCGCAATATTCACCTGCGTGCAAAAAAGGAACCTGCGGATAGCCGTGCAAACTTTTATTCTTGAGCAAATGGCGCTTTTTTCTGCCAACATGCGTCATTCTGAAGCGAACTCATTTCAGCTGCATTTTGCAGTGCCAGCACTAAACAGGCTGTCAGATTAAAATAAATTTCACTTTTAACTATACAATTTTCTCCATGACTAAAATCACAAGAGTTTTACATTTTATTTGTTAATATAAAACATCGTTTTCGGTCGTCTGACAAATCCGAGCAAAACTGCCAAAGCCTTGTGTTTCTTTAATCACGCGCTCACAAATGGTAACACATGACAGCAGAAGGAATGAACACTGTGCTGTAGAAAGAAAAGCTAACACATTATCCAAACTTTTAGAAAACTCGTTAAAAACTAATTATTATCATTGTTTCTGTTGTACACATTCTTTGCACGGGAATGGACGGAGGCAGAGGCTACTTTTTACACGCGTGTACATATCGCTAAAGAGTAACCTTGCCGACAGCCCGCGTTGTCTTGCAGTCAGCAACTTGAGAGAGAGGCAAAGGGTGCAAAAGCTTTTTGACATCTTCAGGGAAAACATGGGCTCCGTGTAAAAAAAAATTGATGACTGTGAATTAAATACAAGAGAACTTCTTTCGATACTTAATTAATAGTTAATAATTATAAGAATAATTAAATTGATAAGACTAACGAAATGTTCACTAGTTTTTCTCCCGTTCATTATTATACTTACTGTCACTTTTATTTCACGTAAACGGAACTAACATATATAAGTCTTAACGACGCGACCCGACGTATAAACCCTACTTTCACTATGTATGAATATCTACAGCTATGTACGGCCATGAACAGCTATGTGCTGGTGTACAGGGCTACCTAGGGCTACGTACGGCTCTGTATGGCTATGCAGCGCTATGTACGGCTATGTACGGCTATGCGCAGCTATGCACGGTTTTGTTTGGCTATGTAGGGCTATGCAAAGCCATGCGCGGCTATGCACGGCCATGCGCGGCTATGCACGCCTATCCACAGCTATGTATGGCTGTGCGAGGCTATGTACGGCAATGGATGGCTATACGCGGCTATGTACTTCTATGTGCGGCTATGCACGGCTATGTACTGCTATGCGAGGCTTTGCACGGCTGTCTAAGGCCATGCGCGGCTATGCACGGCCATGCGCGGCTATGTACGGCTATGGATGGCTATACGCGGCTATGTACTTCTATGTGCGGCTATGCACGGCTATGTACTGCTATGCGAGGCTATGCACGGCTGTGTAAGGCCATGCGCGGCTATGCACAGCCATGCCCGGCTATGCACGGCTATCTACAGCTATGTATGGCTTTGCGCGGCTATGTACGGATATGCGCGGCTATCCACAGCTACATATGGCTGTACGCGGCTATGTACGGATATGTACGGTCATGCTTGGCTATGCACGGCATGGTACGGCTGTGTAACGCGATGTAGAGCTTATGTACGGCCATGCACGGCTATTCACGGCTATGCACGGTTTTGTTCGGCTATATGTAGGGTTATGCACGGCTTTGCACGGCTATGCGCGGTTATGTACGGTTTTGTACGGCTTTGTACGGCCATGCATTGCTATACACGGCATGGTAGGGTTATTTAAGGCTATGCAAGGCTATGTAGAGCTTATGTACGGCTATGCGTCGATACGAACGGCTGTGTACGGCGATGTACTGCTCTGCACGGCTATGCACGGTTATGTACGGATATGAAGGGCTACGTAGGGCTATGTACGGCAATGTAGGGCTTAGGTAGCCTATGCGCGGCTATATATTGCTATGTAGGGCTATGCAGGTTTATTTAGGGCTATTTAAGGCTATTTGAGGCCGAAGGCCGAATTGGCTATTGACTCAGAGGCCATGAGGGGAAGAGGAATA